GAGTCTCGGCCCCAAAGAGCCATTTGAGATTATCAGGTTCATGTCTATCTCCCCATGGAAGCTTAGAGAGGGCCTGCCCTCTACGGGACCCGCCCAAGGTCACTGGCATCATTGGATGCATTTTCAGCTAAGGGCTGTCTCAGAGACTTGGACATGGGAGAATCTGAACGTGGGCATTTCCCTTTGGGGAAACAGCCTTCTTGGCAGGTTCCCTGCATGGGAGATCTCAGAGCAGTGAGAACAGCCTAGAATCTGGATCTAAATGTGCCTGGATTAAATCCCAGTTATGTATAGTGCCCATTTAGTAATAATATAATAATACGATAGCTACCATTTATTGGACACTTATTATGTCTCAGGCAGGACTGATTTTCAGCCAGTACACACTGGTACGATTGTTCTAGTGCTTAAAGTCATGGGAACCCTCCGTAACTATGGTAAATAGCCCCTCTCTCCTCCCTCGCCTTTGTTCTCAGCCCCTTGGGTCTGCAGGATCCAGCACAGTGTCCCTGCCTAGCCCAGCAGGGGTCTGGTTGCAGCACATCTGTGGCCAGGGCCTGAACCACACTGGTGTTCAGCATTTTAAATGTCACCTGGAGGCAGGCAGATGGTAAGGACCTTGTATAGATTCTAATTTGAACCCATTGATACCTTGAGAAGAGAGAATAGGGGGCCTATGTTACAGATATGACAACTGAGGCCCAGAGAGGCATAATGATGTATGCAGGAAGAGTGATAGAGCCAAGGTTTTAGGTCAAGATTGTCTGTCCCCTTCCATGGGCATCTCCAGTAATCAAACATTGAACGGATTACTTCAAGACTCTGATGAGGATCTGAGAAATAACGCCAGCAGAGACCACTCTCAAAACATAATCTTAGAGTTTTCTTTTTTTTTTTAGTGAGAAAAGTTTGTAATTCGAATTAGCCAGCTGGACTCAGTTTAGATGATCCCAATTTTGTTGGCAACATCCAAAGCATCACAGTCAGGAGCAAGTTGAACATAGGCCTTCTTCTCTCCATCAGGCCTAATCAAGATGTTGACCTTGGCCACATCAATGTCATAGAGCTTCTTTACAGCATGTTTAATTTGGTGCTTGTTGGCCTTGACATCCACAATGAACACAAGTGTGTTGTTATCTTCTGTCTTCTTCATGGCTGACTCAGTGGTCAGGGGAAATTTGATGATGGCATAGTGGTCAAGCTTGTTCCTCCTGGGGGCGCCCTTCTGGGGGTATTTGGGCTGCCTTCGGAGTCTCAGCGTCTTAGGCCACGGGAAGGTGGGTGACGTGCGGATCTTTTTTTGGCTGTGGCCCTTCAGGACACCTTCTTGGCCTTTAATGCTTTTGCTTTGGCTTCAGTTTTGGGAGGGGCAGGGGCTTCCTTCTTCTCTTTGGGCACCACCTTTGTAGAAAGGAGGGTTTTCTTTTTTTAATGATCTATACTAATTCAATACTTTCTCCATGCACAATTCATTGATTCTGGTGACATTTCTCAAATTCTGTAACTGTTCTCACCTTCCTTTTTCTGAACTGTTCCCTGCCCACTCATCATTAACTCACTACCTCTGAGGTTCCTATAGAATCTTTCGAGTTGCTGTTGTCAGTTTGATCCCATATAGATAGATTTTAAAAGAGCACAGAGCTCAAGGTTGTTGTTGTTAAGTGCCGTCGAGTCGCAGGCGACTCATAGCGACCCTATGAAGGAGAGTCCTCGACACTTGGATGCCTTTCATCCTCTCTCCAAGTTCATAGGGTTTCCGGAGGCAAGCTATATGGAAGTGGATGCCACTCCTCCTTCCACGCTTGTTTAATCAGGGAGCTCCACCCCACTCTCAGTCCACGTTGGGTAGCCAACCATTAACGCATTTGACACATCAGTGTCACAGTGTTCAGCCTCACAGCAACCACAAGTGACCGCAGAACAGCAACTTGTACACCAGGGCTATATGACCTAGAGGAATGTCTGAACAAAAACAATGAAAGAAATTTTTTTACTGCTTAATCTAAACTGCCTTTTAGTTTTAAGAAGACTTCAGAATGTATTTCACCCCCCCCCCTTCATTTAAGGCTTAAAGATTATCTTAGGGCATTAGTTCCAGAGGGTTTATCCACCTTTTATGGCTCCACAAAGTCTAGTTGTTGTTGAGTACCAATGAGTTGGGACTCGTAGCTGACCCTCCAGCAGGTTTCAGAGGCCATAAATCACATGGATGAAGATGGCCCATCTTACTTCTGTGGAGCAGCTGGTGAGTTTGAACTGCGTACCTTTAGGTTGGCAGCACAATTCCTTATCACTAAGCCATCAGAGCTCTCTAGAGAGTCTAGAATCTGTGAGAATTTGAAATGCTGTTGCACATTTTCTTCCTTCTGTAGCTCTGGCCTTGAGTGTGTAAGAGACCGTGAGGACAGCACAGAATAGGACAGTGTTCAGATCGGTTGCTCATTGGGTTGCTATGAGTCAGACTCTACTTGACTCCATGGAACCTAACAATAATAGCTCTGGTGGTCTAACGATAAGGACCCAAAGGTACATGGTTTGAACCCACCAGCTGCTCTGCGGGAGAATGATGGACATTTTCCTCCTGTGCAATTTACTGCTTCTGAAAACCCAGCTATGGGTCAGTTCTGACTTGATGGCGCATACAACAAAAAACATAGAATCTTTAGGGAGTTCTGGTGGCCTGGTGATAAGGAAGTGTGTGCCCAGCCCAAAGGTACATGGTTCAAATACAGCAGTTGTTCTGTGGGAGAAAGAGGGACAATCTCTTCCCATGTGATTTCTAGCTTCTGAAAACCCCCTGGAGGGTCATCTGTGAGCCAGTTATGTACTCAATGGTATGTTGTTACATAAAATATTTTATTACAGTGTTCATTGACTATAACTAGATGCCAGCTGCCCGAGCCTTCTCAGGAGAAAGATGAGCAATCTCCACCCATGTGATTTACAGTCTCAGAAATCAGTGAAGGGTCAGCTCAGAGATGGTTCTGACTCAACAGCAAAGAGCGAGTGAGTGAGGCACCATCCAGTTCCAGTCTCATTGCAAAGCCCTCTCCCCGCCCCTTTAAAAAAAAAACAAACACAAAAACATTCTCCACTGTAATCCCAGAGGTATGTGGGTTCGAATCCACCAGATGCTTTGCTGGAGACAGAGGGGCAATCTCCTCCTGTACCAGTTAGATCCAATTTGACGGTACAGACACACACACACACACACACACACACACGAATAGAATAGAATAGAATAGAATAGAATAGAATA